AGCTTTCCATTCAATGAGTCATATACATTTCGTTTCATGTCATTGATTGCCATCTCCGCAATGTGACATCACTCACTACCTCCCTGTATTTCCTGTTTCTGTTCCTCCTCCTTTCCTAAGCCTTTCTGCCTTCTGAGCTTTGTGTCTGGGAAAATGCCTCCCTTTTGATCATAAATGGTTGATTGTTCTAAGGAGTGCTTACCCTCCTAGTGTTACTGTTCACCTTATAGATCTGTTTACTGTTTGGCTGAAAATTGAGCCATGGGGGTGAATTCAGTTCCAGGCCTGAAGGATGAATAAGAGCTTGAGGTACCACCAGTCTATATCTGACCAGTAAGCATGGTCTTTTTTATGATCTTGAGTTTTGTTTCACATTTTAATCCCATTCTATTCAGGACCTTTCAGAGCAGTTGGTAGTAGTAGCTGCGCATCATGTAGCTCTTCTGATCTCAGGGTCTTGGAGGCTAAGGTTCATGTGGCTTATCAGTCCTTTTAGACTAATTGTTTCTATGTGTCTTTTATTTTCTTCACTCTTATTTGCTTCAGATGGGGAGACTAATAGTTGAACCTTAAGTGACCGCTCACAAGCGTTTAAGACCCCAGTTGCTACTCACCAAAGTAGGATGTAGAGCATTTTCTTTGTGTACTGTGTTGTGCTGATTGACTTTATGTCCCCCAAAATTATGATCCTGAGCCCCTAGACCCAGTCATTCAATCCTTTGAAATACTTGTTTATGGCTAAGAAGTCTTCATAACTTTTCCCCCTGTATGCACTACTATACTCATAGAGTATATTTGCAGAATATGTAAATACATATGTAGGAATATCCTCTGTTAAACCTATATATATTCATGGGTATCATCCCATTGTCCTCCTCAAACTAATTCAGCTTCTGTGTTTGTCTGTGTATTTATCTTAGATTATTATTATTACTGTTATTTCAGGATTGTGTGTGTGATAATACATAATCTCTGTTGCCTTTAACTCTTGTGCTCCTCTCAGTGTCTTACTTTGCCTTGATCATTTGTGCTGACCTGCCCCTTATTGTATATTGCCTTCCTCTTCACCCAAGTTAATATGTGTCAACTCTCTAGTTAGTGATTTTCCCTCCCTTCCACGCTCACCCCTGATAACCATCAAAGAATGTTTCCTTTTGTGTGAAAACCTTTTCTTGGCTTTTTATAATTGTGGTCTCATATAATATTAGTCATTTTGTGGTTGACTAATTTCACTCAGCATGGTGTCCTCCAGGTTCATCCATGTTATGAAGTGTTTCACAGAATCATCATTATGCTTTAATGTTGCATAGTATTCAGTTGTGTATATGTAGCATTTTTATTTTTCCATTTATCTGTTGATGGGCATTTAGATTGTCTCCATCTTTTTGCTGTTGTGACTAGTGCTGTGATGAAAATGGGTGTGTATATGTCTATTTGTGTTAGGATTCTTATTTTTGTAAGATATATACCTACTAGTGGGATTTCTGCATCATATGATATTTCTGCTTCCAACTTTTTTTAAGGAAGTGTATTACTGTTTGCCACAGGGATTTTAGAGGAAAGGGAAATAAAAGGCATCCACATTGGTAAAGAAGAAGTAAAACTATATGTATTTACAGATGATACAATCCTATACATAGAAAATCCTAAAGACTTAGCAAGAAAATTACTGGAACTAATTGAAGGATTTAACAATATGGTAGGATACAAGATCAACATACAAAACTCCATCGGATTCCTTTATACTGAAGAGAATTCTGAATAGGCAATCAGGAAAATAATACCATTTACAATAGCTATCCAAAAGATGAAATAGTTAGGAATATATCTAACCAGAGATACAAAATACCTATACAAAGAAAAGTGCAAAACACTACTACAAGAAACCAAAAGAGACCTACATAAATGGAAGAATATACCATGTTCATGGCTAGTAAGACTTAACATTATGAAAATGTCAATACTACCTAAACAATCTATAGATATAATGCCGTCCCAGCCCATCTTCCATCATCATTCTTTAAAGAGATGGAGAAACTAACAACCAGCTTTATAAGGAAAGGAAAGAGACCCCAGATAAGCATTACTAAAGAAGAAAAAAGTAGGAGGCTTCACACTTCCCGATCTCAAAACTTACTGCACAGTCATGGTAGCCAAAACAGCCTGGTATTGGTACAGTGACAGACACATACACCAGTGGAACAGAATTGAGAACCCAAAAAGAAATCCATTCCACCTGTGGACAGCAGGTGATCTCTGACAAAAGGCCAAAACTCATTAAAAGGAGAAGAGATAGTCTCTTTAACTAATAGTGCTAGCAAAACTGAATATCCATTTGCAGAAAAATCAAACAGGACCCATGTATCACACCCTATAATAAATGAACTCAAGGTCGATCAAAGACCTAAATGTAAAACCTAAAACTCTAAAGACCATCAAAGAAAAAATAGGGATAACCTTGGGCCTCTAATGCATGGCATTTATACACTATGGCATAAAAAGCATAACTAAAAGCATAGAAACCACTCAAGACACACTAAATGACTGGGACCTCATAACAATTGGACATTTATGTACATCAAAAGATTTCACCAAAAAAGTAAAAAGGGAACCCCCAAACTGAGAACAATTTTTTTTTTTTCCAAAAACATATCAGACAAGGGGCTTTTGTTGTTGTTGTTGTTAAGTGCCATCGAGTCGTTTCCGACTCATAGCGACCCCATGCACAGCAGAACGAAACACTGCCCAATCCCGTGCCAGCCCCACAATCCCTGCTATACTTGAGCCCATCATCGCAGCCACCGTATCAATCCAGCTCGTTGAAGGCCTC